GAAGCCAACTGGTTGGGTACCGGTGCGATCGGGTTTGAAAAGGAAATGGATATATTTAGTTATTTATAAGTTATTTACAAAGTTTGTGTGTATGTTATGTAATATTATATGTTTTGTATATTGAATTTGCTTTCAATCAGATAATACGCTATTTTGTATTCATGTTAAGCGACTTTAACAGCCTGTTTGGCGCATTCAATGGAAAGTTTACCCTGTTTACTATGTTTTATATAATCTTAAATTAAATCAATTTTGTAATTAAACTATGAATATTTAATAATATTTTGATAATCAAAAATTAATATAATATATTATCTTGTGGTAGTTATATTAGTTATACTCTAAATCATATTATATAAATAGTAATTGAGTGAGTGTTAAATGTGAAATTATTTCATATAACATTATCCAACAAATATCTAGCTATTTCTAGTGGATTATTAATCTTTACTAACTTATTAATTACAACTTTTAATACAAATAAATTTTAATAATTTAAAAATTTTATAAAACTTTGTGAACACTACCCCAGATCAAGAACTTTTGATTTTTTTTATACATACTTTAATGTTTTTAAAATATCTATTTACAGTTTTATATTTATACAATAAATATAGAAAAAAATAAACTTTAATATAGACACTAAAATTTAAAAATTTCTAATTTAAATATAAAGTTAATTTTTTAATGTGTAGATATTTATTGAGCATTTAATTAGCAATTAATGACTTACTCAGAGATCCCATGATATAACCGAAACACATGAACGTCGAGATCAATGCAATCATATTCAGCGATGTATTCAACGCGTACTTCAGGTCCACAAAGGCCGGGAAAAATGTCGAGTTGCATACACCCTGGTCATTGTTTGTAACAATTTAGCATGAATAATTAATAAACTAAATAGGTAAAAATAATTTTTAAAATACTTACATAGGTAATCATAGTAAAACACATGATTGTGGTGTACGTATACTTTTCCCATGTTGTAATTTCATTATTAGCTGGCTGCTTTTTGATTGTCACCACACCGTTACCGTTAGATTTATTATTAGACATTTTTAAAGCGATTAATAAATTATTTAAATAAACACTTAATTTTAAAAATTTAAAACTGTTTATAAATATTAAACACAAACTAATTTCACTTTAAAAACTCAAATAAC